TCTAGAAATTACAATCAGTAGTTTTTTTTGTACTGCAATAACAATAATTCCTATAGAACAAGAAATTCAGAATAATATACTAGCTCAAAAACAAATAGCTTGTTCTATAGAGACTATTGAAAAAAAGTTAAAGAGCTAGAACAAATATATAACGCTATCTCTAATTCACAGCTTCTACATAACTTATATAACAGGATCAAAAGTCTAAAAACTAATATTTAATCATATAAAGAAAAAATGCAAAAATTAAAAAAAATACCAATTATTAGTCCAAATATCGTTCTAAAAAAGCTAAGACAATAAAAGAAAAACAAAAGGTAGTTCAGTATGACAAATATAGCAAACCATCATTTTTACTTCAGTATTCAGACTTACTAAAATATATTCATGATTTAATCAAGTATAGATTAGCAGATGTATATAGATGTAAAGAAGCTATTAAAGTAAGAATTGTGAATTATCTAAGAGAAAATCTTGAAAAAACTATGCCATTTATATAGCAAGAACAACTCTAAATAATTACTTTTTGCTTTGTCACTCAAACTTATTTGTAGCAAAGGCATATCATTATCTCACCTGAGTAGCTGTAGCCAGAGTTATACATGATAAAACAAAATACTATCCTGATAGCTACTATTGTCTTATTTCTATAAAAAGTGTAAGACAATTTGCATAAATTTTTGCTGAATTTTCTGTAATCATCTCACAAGATGATAAGGTGAAGATAGATTTAGAAGTAGCTGCTATTGGTAGAACATTTCATATTTTACAATCTTCTTCTTAACTAGTTCAAATATCTGATCATAATTTTGTACATGGAAGTAACCAAAAACTTTATAGAAACTTGTAGTTTTTGACAAATAATTATCATATAATAGTTATATAATTATTATATAATAAAAATATTATAAATATAAAATATGCATTAAATTTTTCAACTCTTTCCGCTGATTATCAAAACACAAATTTTTAGAAAAACAAAACAATAAAAACTACAAAAAACACATCAAAGCCACTAGAAAACTAAACTCAGAGCTTTAAGAAAAGAGGAAGAGAGCCACAAGAAATACTCAGTCTCTTAAAAGACTTGAGTAAAAGAAGCTGAACTAGTGAAGAAATAGAAGAAGTCATAAAAAATCATTAATATTTTTTTGTACTTTATGAATTTTTGGGAAATCGGCCTTGACCCTGAATTATAGATCTGTTTTGGTGATACAAAATCACAACATGTAATAGAAAGTAAACAAAGAAAACATAACAAAAACCATGTGACAAAAGTAAACAAAACTATTAAACATGTGTAGCTAACAATAACATCTTTCGAAAACAATAGAAAAACAACAAGTCATGTGAAGCAAATATTAACAGAGCATCTAGAAAAGAAAGTTAAAATACCTGAAAAAATGAAAATAGTATTAAAAGAACTCCAGACCTTAATAAAAGACTCATTGGAGAAAGAAATAGATAAAGAAGTAGAAGAAATGATAGCAGAATATACTAGACAGAAGCTTCTCCCAAAAGAGTTAGCTAATAAACAAATAAAGAACTACTATAAAGAGCTATAGCGATATAATATAGAACAATTTAAATACATAGCATCTGAACTTATAAAAAGAGATTATAAGACCTTCTATAAAGCAATACAAGATGGTGAAGACCCTGTAAATCATATTATAAAAATAGAAATATACAGTATCATAATACAAATAAGACTAGGTGATGGAACAAGAAAAATACTAATAAATAGAGAAAAGCAATTTGCTAAAATAAAGGTGAAAATAGATTAAAGCAAGAGACTTCAAGAACAAAGAAGTAGCTGACAAAGACAGCATAACAAAACAGCCCTAAAATCTATAGTATATCAATTTAAAGAATCAGTTAAGTTTTCTGCAGCAGCACATTATGAAGCTAAGAAGAAAATTAAAGAAACAAAAGAAAAGAAAATACAAATCCTGCAAAAGAAAAAACAAGTAGCTAAAATAAAGGTGAAATTGGAAGCAAGCTAGAGCAAGAGACTTCAGAAAAAAAGAGGAATTCGACAAAAGCAAACAATAAATAAAAATAAAAATTAAGAATAAAAATAAAAAAAAACAAAAAAATAAATTTACTTATTTATGTCAATTTACATTACTTCATCGATATTCATTGTATCGATATCTATTATATCCATATCTAACACTTTATGATCTGTTACATTTTCAGCATATAGCTCATCGTCAGAATCCAACTTACCTCTTAAAAATATACCTTCATATTTTTCACCTTCATATTCATCATTTTCTTTACCTTTGCTTTCATCATTTTCTTCACCTTTGTTTTCATCATTTTCTTCACCTCGTCTTCATTATTTTTTTCATCTTTGCCTTTATCATTTTCTTCGTCGTTTAACAATTCATTCATATCGTTCATACAGTTTTCAACTATAGCCTGAAGATAGCTTGATATTTTATTGTTTTCGCTGCTTTACTTGCTATATATACTAATACTAACTAAACTAGAATATTAAAATTTTAATCAAACCTAATATTAGTAAGGTTTTAATCGAGGTATGAAAAGACTTGATCTGAGTAATCTAGGTTATTTGAATGAGTAGAGATAGTATTGGACTTAGATAAGTAATTTCTTATTTCTTTAATAAATATTTTTCTTTCTTTAATACCTTCACTAATACAATATATAAATTCTTTTTATAGATACTGTGACAGGGTCTCGTGATCAAAATTAGCTAATCAAAAAGTGATACAAAAGTCACAGTATTACAAGGATAATAATATTGATTACAAACTTTAATTAAAATTAATTTATATATAAAGAGTAATACGTACTTTTTCTTTTACTAAATACAATAATATGATGTATAATAGCTATAGAGACAAGAAAGTATGATATTAACAAATAATTCTTAACAAAAGAAATCACAGGTTAATGACAAATATTTGAACTCTTATTTTGAAGGTTTTCGAATTTTAGGAATTTGTGAGCTTTATCAAGTTAGTTTTATTCACTAAAAAAAATGAGTCTTTTATATCTTTTATATATTATTAATATATTTAAGCTATAGCTAATATATCCACTATATCGACTATAATAAACATTCTTTCTATTTAAGATGATAATCTTTTTTTGCTTACTACTTTTGGGAAGGCTATAGAACAAGTATTAACTGGGCTTTTTTAAAAAAAGAAAAACAATTCATAACAAGAAGTGATAATATATACTGAATAACAATAATAATAAAATAAAAATAAAATAAAACAGAATAACTATCTGTCACAATATATATACTAATACTTTACTAAACTTTTTTTTAAATTTAAAATCTATTATTTATTTTATATTAATTTTAAAATGACTAGTTACATACAGATGGTATATAAGCTAAACAAATATTTAATAACAAATATAGATCTGTATAAAGATAAAATATATATATATAGATTTGAGAAAAAGAAATATAAAACTACATACATAAGTGCTATAAGAATTTTTTTAAAGAAATCAGAGCTTAAAAAAAAACCTTTTATTCTATGTCTAAAAAATATTCTCTACAATCATCATCAAAATAACATTCATTTTGTTACAAGAGTAATAGATTCAAATCTTCTATAGTTGCAAAATTTAAAATTACAACAAATTCTGTAACTAATTTTGAAATTTCTGGTTCTTTTCTAGGCTTTTTATAGTTGAATAAATGTTGTAAATATTTATGCTTTGCTATATATATTAGAGTAAGAAAATACTTATGACAAATTAAGCAGCAAAGTCAAGAATATATTGTTTAATTAGTAGATAGACAATGAGCATTATAACTAGGAACTTTAAATTGCTCAGAATATTGAAAAAAGTGAACAGGATTAATATAATGACCATCTTAGACTTTGGTAATAGAAAGAAAGAAACTATCAAAGAGTCAAAGAAAATCTATAGCTTTTTGCACTTTGGTAAGTCTATAGCAGCTCAGATCAGTACAATATTTAATATCAATTAAATATTAACATAAATTACAATGTTTTTTTATTCAGAACTACAGAACAAAAATATTAGCAGATTCATTAAGGTCTTGTTTTTCTTTATCATCAAAATTTCGCTGATTTAATTTTTTTTCCCTTTTAATATTCTTATCTTCTTCCTCATAAGTAAACATAATATTCACAAATAGATTATTCATTTTATCAATATACATTGCTTTTACATATTTTCAAAAATTAGGTTTTGCCCCCATATATCACACAATATAAAACTATTATAATAGAAATTTTTAGTTGCTAATTCATCATCAACAACTCTATCTGACTATCAAGATATTTTTCAAAATGATCTATCAGTAGAACAACTCCG